AGACTGAGGCGGAAGGATCGCGGAGCACAGCGGGTGGACTCTGGGGTAACTGTGAGCGTGCTGCACTCCAGCCTGGGTGACAGAGTGAGACTCCCACTCAAAAACAAATAAACAAACAACAACAACAAAAAACCTAATCAAAATGCCAGAAGCCCTAAAAGACATCAAAACTGATGAATTCAAAAACTGTTCTGAGCTGTAAGTGGAAAAGTGTCTCGATAGGTATATTGCATCAAACAGATAGTACTTTGAAGATGACTGAAGTTTAAACATGTACGAATAATTACACACGATTTTATAAATAAATTTCAAGTTTTGGGGGGGGTTCCTCTTGTACACACATTTTTATCTCAGCCATTTGAGAAAAAAGTGGTAAAAGGGCACAATGTGCTATTACCCCCCTAAATACCTTACACTCCCTACACAGTCACCAGATACCCATCCAAACTCAGGAAACTAACATTAACACCATACTATCTTCTAATCCACAGATTCCCACTCATGTTTCACTGATTTTCCCAGTAAGCTGTTTAGATGTTTGGTTGATATCCAATCTAGGATCACGCATTGCATATAGATAGCATGTCTCTTTAGTCATCTTCAATCTGGAAAAGTTATTCAGTCTTTCCTTATCCTTTGAGGACTTGACATTTTTAAAGTATAGACCAGTTACATAGAAGAATATCCCTTGACTTGAGGTTGTCTAATGTTTTGTCATGATTATATTCAGGTATACACAGGGATATCACAGAAATAATTAGCACATTCATCAAAAGGCAGATGATGCTGACTTAACCCATGGCTGGTGAAGTTAACTTTGATTGTTTGGCTTAGATGGTGTCTGTCAGGTTTCTTTACAGAAAAGTTAATGAATAAGTACTTTGTGAAGGAATTTTAATAAGTATGAAGCAAGGGTGAGTGTTGTTAGATGCCCATTAAGATGTTGGTAAGTATTTTGTGGGGAGAGAGCTTGAGACTGTGTAAATATCTGGTTGCTCATGAAAACTTTGTCCACTAATTTTGGCACCCACAGATGCTTCTCTCCTGAACCAAATATTAAGATGGTTAATAAATAATTATATAATGCTACCATTTCTTCGGCAATTGTTAGTTGGCATCCTACTATAAGGTAGAGTGTTTCTTTATTATATATTTAAATTAGTATGAATTTGCAGGTTCCCATTTTTAGAATAAATTATAATTCCATATAATTAGTAGCATTATTTACTTTTGATGATCAAGTTGACCCAGATTTGACCACTGAGAACCTTTCGAGGCAACCCCTGTGACTTTTGTCAGTCTTCATCATTCTTGGAGAATCCCCTTATTTCCTGCCACAAGAAATTCCAAGCTCATCTTGTATTTTTCCTACCCCAACCATGAAATCAACTATTATTCCAAGGAGTTCTAGTTTCTTTTAGTTGAGAATGGCATTTAGAAACCAATATTTAGGCACTGAGAGTGCTCAGTGCTATGAAAGTGTCATTGATTCCAGGCCCTCTTGGTGGATAGAGCTATGCACACACGAATACACTCATACATACATTATCTGTATCAACATATTTTGGAAGCCCTGCATTCACACCATTGCCTCCTATGACAATCCAACATCATGTAAGTTATTCTAGTCTTCCCTTCTCTATATTTGTCCCTCGTTTCTTCAACAAAAAGAAAGCTGACTCCCAATATCCTTAACGTATTTGATTAATTCTTTGGGATGCAACCAGTCTCTCATCCATCATGGCTATGAGCCTCTGACTCACACTGGCCAGCTCAAGTCAAGAGCCAAGAGATTTCCCCCAGGCCATATTGTTTTGAATCAATCTGGACAATTACACTGAGCGAGTTTTTACCTGTGGTTAAGTGCAAGGTGTCTACAGTCAGAATGTCAGGTTTGCATAACAGCCATCCACTAGCTATGCAATTTTGGCAAACTAGCTAACTTCCTCTAGTCTCTAAGGTTCGTTTCTTCAAAGAGAGGCCATAGCAGCGAGAAAGCAGGTCATCCTGCTGCTTCTTGCTGACTTGCATATGGATCCTGAGTCTCCGAATGAAGGACTCCACCTCTCCAGCCAGATATCCATGGATGAAACAAGGAATAGCACCTTCCAGCAGGAGAGTGTGAGAGGGTGTCAGTGGTGTGTAGCTGTACCAGCCCATTGGAAGGGAAGTGTCAAAGGGGCTTGCTTAGACATCAGCTCACTTGGGATTACTATAACCCACTGCAGAATAATGTAAATTTGGGGCCTCAGATTCTTTATTTGCAAACTGACAACGGTCACATGGGCTTTGCTACCTTGGAGAGTTATGTGAGCATCAGAGGAGTTAATGTTCCCCAGTGTGTGAAGTGGATGCTATTTAAAGAATATTTTCCACTTCCACCCTTTTCAAAAGTAATACGTATTCACCACAGAACATTTAGAAAACCCAGATAAGCAAAAATAAGATAATAGCCATCACTAGTCATTCCATCAAGTAAAGATAGCCATCGATTCTATCTTGCACTGTCCTTGTAGTCCTGTTTCTGGTGTACAGTATGAATACTATTGAGTGCCCACTCTCTTTTCTTTCTGTGCAAGGTAGGGACTAGATTCCCTCTGGGTCCCACTCCCTGATTCTCCTGAGCCTCCTGCTGGCTGGCTCCCATAGTACAATATCCCCACAAAGCAGTGGACAAGCAGGCCAACGTCCATGTATGCGCGTGTGGTCAATGCAGCGTGCACTTCTCTTGGTGGGCACATCTGTCTGGGGTTCCTCCTTTACAGGACGCCCTTCTTCCTTCCCAGGTGCAGAAGGCCAGGGAACAGGTTTCCTCACTCTTTGATCACAATAAGTTGTCTTCTGCAGAAACTGGTAGCTGGCTGGTGTCCAGATCCCAAGGGAAACAGCCATACAAATCTTTTCTATTCCAGTGCCGCTCACTAAAGCTTCTCTGACAAATGTCGCTCTAGGAGAGATTCAGAGGATGTGGAGGGATGTATGTGTGAGCTCTGGGCGGGAGATCACAGCTCTCACAGCTCTCAGAGATCACACACAACAACTCACGGGCTTCTCACGCCTCTGCCTTTCCTTTGATGTTGGACCAGCATGTCACCTGGTCCACTGACCACATGCTTGGTCATTTTGTAAACGTTTTTTGTATTCTCAGAAATTGCAAAACACATATCACTGCCTATGGAGAAAAGAGGACAGAAGAATATGTAAAAGTTAGATGGTTTTTCACCAAACGACCGATGGAAGGACACTCATCCAAGTTCAAGCTTACTTTGCATCTCTGAATATTTCAAACTCACCAGTCTAGGACCCTGTTCTGGGACTGTTGCCTTTATATATCATTCATTTTTGATAAGTGTATTAATATGTGCTTGGTATTCTGCTTATAATATGTTCCTTCGTGTCTGTTATTGATTTGGAATTTCACCTTGAGAGATTTGAGACCTTTGTGTCTGGAAGGTTTTATTCATCAAAAAAGAAGGCTCTGATTAGAACACAAATGACAACCAGACATAGTGGTGTCCACCTGTAGTCCCAGCTACTCAGGAGGCTGGGGTGGGAGGATCGCTTGAGCCCAGGAGTTCAAGGCTGCATTGAGCTATGATCACATCACTGCACTCCAGCTGGGGTGACAGAGCGAGACATTGTCTCAACAAACATACAAGCAAACAAACAAAAGCCTCCCAGAATCAAACCAGACCCCACAAATGAGCCTTGAGCCTTGTCTGTGAATGCTTTCCTGTGTATTAGTTGATAATAGATTAATGTTAATGCCTGGATGGAGCAGAGGCCTGAGGGAGATGGGGAACGTTCCCCAGGAGAAACTAAAACCAAGTTTCATCTCCACAACTTTGTGAAGTTTGCTGGTTTCATCATTTAGCAAGCATTTGGATGTAGCTCATTATTTTATGTAAGTCCATCACCCCCACCTTGTTCTTACTTCCCTTCTCACCAAGCTTAGCACTGCTGTCATCACTGTTTTGCATGTATCTGCAACTCCTTAGACACTGCCCAGTCCTCTGCTGACAAACCGATGAAATTTGTCTCCAACTGCTTTACCGCTGCTCCTGAAAGAAGCGCACAACCACGAGGACTGTCCTGTTATGGTCTGAGTAACGCTCAGCTGCTCTCCTTGATACCAGTAAATCAAAGGGGCAGGGAACTGGTAGAAATGAGTGTATTTCTGAGTTCAAATCCAGGGAGCAGAGCCAGACTTGAAGTCTCTCTAAAATGGTTCTGCTCACCCTCCAGGCTTTTTCTTTTTCTTTTTTTGAGATGGAGTCTCACTCTGTGGCCCAGGCTGGAGTGCAGTGGCATGCTCACGGGCACCGCAGCCTCGACCTGCTGGGTTCAGGTGATCCTTCTACTTCAAGCCTTCCAAGTAGCTGGAACCACAGGCACATGCCACCACGTCCAGCTAATTTTTTGGTTTATTGTAGAGATGGGGTCTCACCAAATTGCCTAGGCTGGTCTCTTGAACCCATGGGCTCAGGCAATCCTCTCACCTCAGCCTCCCAACGTGCTGAGATGATAGTTGTGAGCCACCACACCTGGCTCCTCCAGGCTTTTACAGTTCACTTTTATAAGTCCAGAGTTGTTAGTACCTATACATTAGTCACGTGACCCACAGAGCATTGTACAGAACTTGAGTTTCAGTGCATTTATCGATAGTGACATTTTTGGGTCCAGACTTCTTGGTGCCAGGTATCAGAGGTATCTCACAGCTTTTATCAGCCGGGCCCAGCAGAAGCATTAATCAAGCTTTCCATAGAGTAAAGGGAGCTCACGAGGCTAAGACATCATGCATTATGCAAAAGTTATACAAATTGCAAAACTTATGATTACACTGATACAAAAGTTATACAAATCACAAGCCTTATGATTACATTGATACTATATTATTCAAACTTATAACTACACAGAAAAAGGGAGTAAATGGGGATTTGCATTTTTCAGTTGATTGGGCTTGTCTATAGGGAAGTCAAGGATTCCCTGAAGCTACTTACTGGGAATGCATAGGAGATGAGGGAACTCTCAGTGCTGCTGTGCTCAGGAATGTGCAGGAGTGCTTGAACCCTTGCTATGCCCTTTTCTAGGGGCTGTGACAATACGGACGGGCATTAGTGGGTGTCTGTATCAGTTCCCCATTCGCCTGTGACTCTTAACCTCTGGGATCCCTCAGTGCCCAGGGATCCCTCAGTGCCCAGGGACCACCAGGGTGGTCCTATCTTTTTTCTCTAGTCAGTTAACTCTTCTGTACCCAGAGAAGACCATTTCACATCTTCTGTCCTTTCCTGAAGTTCCAGAACCTCCTCACTGGTCCTCCCTTTCCACTGACGACTTTGACTCCAATGGAGAAAATGAAATCTTCACAAGGGAATGTCTTTTACTTTCCCCATGAAATCTACCAACCTTCTTGCCTTTGGACCCATATACTTTTCTCTCATGTTGAATAATGCTCATTCCTTCTCACTGACTCAACTTTGTTCCTGCATCCTTCTCTCTCCTGCATCCTTGTTTTTTTCTTCATTTGGGTTATTCCCATTAACATCCAAATAAGCTGTATGATTTCTCATCTATAAACAAACAAACCCCCAAATCTCAAACCTCCCCAAATCCCCCACTATTGTCCCATATCTCTGCTCCCTTTATTTTTTACTTTATTTTATGATTGTTTTTTGGTTAATTTTGATATATATATATATTTTATTATAAAGATGTGGGGTACAATTCAGGGTTAGGTATACAAACGTTGATTATGC